ATCTTCTAAATTTATAATGCACACACACGTGGTCTCTCTGATTTTCTGTTGTGTGGTGGCCAAAAGATGTATATCCAGGTTGCCTTACGTATCTTATTGAGTGAAAAAACTCTTCCTCCCAAGAGCACGCTGCTGCCTGCACACAAGAAGTCCTTCAATCTTTCACCTTTGTCATTCTCCTCCTTTCTTATTCCGTGGAAAGGCATTACCACAGGTTAAAGGACAACCATCCAATACACCACCGACAGCTTTAGGTAAAATGTGACACCGCAAAGAATCATAGTCAGGCGGAAAAGATTCAGTCTATTAAAACAAAAATCAGTTTCAACACTAAAGAATTTAGTTGAGTATCATAAGGACAAAGACAAAACGCGTTTGCAATTATAAGCTAGCGGACATGTGAGGACACAAAACTGATACCTAAAGCGAGATTTTTAAAAAACAAACATTGTTAAAACAATTCAAGCAATTCCAAGACACATACAACAAGATAGAACAGTATTTGCATCTCTCTCCTGTACACATGAAAACAAAGTATGGAGAAAGGAAATACTGACATGCGGCTCACAACAAACTTTAGGTCCCGACATCGAGGAAATAACATGAAGAGTGAAAAAAAAGCAATGTGTATGCCATTTGATCAGAGAGAAATAAAGGAGGATAATTTTTAAAAAATAACAAAAGCTTTATTTCAACAAAAAGAGTCTGAAATCAGGTAAAAATGATATCTCTTGCCATTTAACTTTCAAGCTGTTGTTTAAGAGGTTTTCCCAAACACATCCCGTCACAGCCATAAAGAAACCCCTGTTGACAACACACTCTAAAGCAGGACTTACAGACTCATACTATTCCCGACTAGGAACATTATATCCTTTCAGAACATTGTGAGTAGACCTTCATCAAATGGCTACAGCCTTTTTCTGTAATCAAAACACAACACAGCTGAAATTTTCCCAGATAGAGAAAAGCCTTATTAGTGCACTCTTTTATGAAACGGATACAGCTGGACAAAAAAAAATGAGAAAAGATAATATCACCCATTGCTAACCACAATAAAAATATCGTACAGCTTAACTTCCCTGTAAACACTGGTTTTTGGCTTTTCTTTGTAGATTTAGTCAAAGTTTTAAGACACTTTCAACACAATTAGGTCATACAAGTGCCAAAAGTTATAGACGTTATTAAAGAGTAGCAATCAAATAACAAAAGAAGAGATAAGGATGATATTTGTTAGTTTGATAGGAAAGATGGAGCAAACCATACCAGGGCGCCCGCCACCCACCAACTCAACTCTATAGATGTCTAGGCCAGTGCGGAAAAGAACAAAAGCAGTACATGTAAGCACTGCATGATCAGTCAGTCAGTGGAAAAGACAAACAGATCGGTCTGTCTCTGTAACATTTTACTCCCATCTGAGCCTGCTGCAACCTCTACAAAAATTAGATGCACGTACTATTTAAAAACTATTTTTAAAATCATAGATCTTTCAAGAAAAAAGTAAAAATCAAACTTGTTCATAGGCCAGAAAACACACACACATAAACAAACATGAAAGAAGGTCAGTCTGACACATCAGAAGTTTACAAAGATAAGCAAATTAAAAAACCAGACAAAATAAAGCATTTATTCAAACTTAAAAGAAAAAAAACACAAAAAAACAACAACAACAACAACAAAAAAGCATAACACAAGTTTCAACAGCTTCGATAGCGAATGGCTGGTGAATGAATCAAGGTACACATCAAAAGATGGATTAAGTTCTGAGGGGGTCTCTGTGTTTGAACACACTCTCTGCAAACCAAACTACAAAAATGAAATAATTTTTTCTTTTAATGACATCTAGATGCAACTACACAAGGAAAGCGTAAGAAGGGAAGACCAAAGATGACATGGAGGCGAGCGGTACAAGCAGAAATTGAAAAAGCGGGGACATCATAGAAACAGATAGAAAAGGATGCCCAGGACAGGCTTCGCTGGAGTAATGTTGTTGATGGCCTGTGCTCCACTGGGAGTTAAAAAGGGCAAGAGAGAGAGAGAGATGCAACTAACTTTTGATCAAAGTTTGGACAACTTTAGAAATAAATTCATGATGAAGCCTTTGTTATCCAGGACAGCATACTCTTTATCAAACAGCTACTCCAAGAAGTAACTGCAATGATACAAAATAAAAATGTGGCCAGTGACACACAAATGTGACCAACATTTCATCCCAATGTGAATGCAATGAAGAATTGTTTTATGGCGAGGTCTCTTACATTTTAAAGTGTAAACTTTCCCCTAAAAAGCCATTAAAAATACCAGGCATGGTACAAAACACAAATATGAGACTTACTATCACTAAATTTGATTAAACTTTGAATACAGCTGTGGACTAAAGCTGTATTTCTGTCATTGAACATGAAGTCCCTATGGCATGATATGTATCATTTCAAATGTCATCGAATCTTTAAGTTTAAAAAAAAAAAAGCATGCATGCTTTGGAACAATATACTTGTAAGTTTGTCTTCCAGGTCCTGCAATGTTTATCTCAAGGTGAAATAGCCACCATTATCCTTTTTAAAAAAAAAAAAAATTACAGTCAAAGAACAAAAACATTTAGGCAGATGTAGTTTACCATAAGTCAACACAACCGTCCGACTTCGCCAGGAAAAGAATAAGAAAACAGTAACACTGAAAAGCAGTAGAAGAAGCAGTCAGTATCAGAAATTCTGTCAACTGCCAGCTCATGCTTGTGAGAAAAATATAATATAAAGCAGCAGTTACTTACCTCTCTTCCTCTAAAAAATTAGATTATCTCTATCATCAAAAGATAATGCATGGGCACATGCTATTTTTTTAAGAAATGGAGATTAGTTGAGTTGTACTTCTGGACTAGTCATCAAAGGTATGGCGACATTTCAACAGGAACAATAAATACTGATAATACAGAGGCAAATGAAAGAACTGAGAAAAGCCCACCAAGTTATGCTTATGCAAAAAAAACAATAAGAGGTGTCTTTTCTGTTACAAGAAGCAACAAGGAGATTACCAAAGACTGTAGAGAGGAAGCTACAAACATACATCAACTGATGCTTGAAATCAATCAATTTTCGGCATCAGATACTTTGACTTTGACACTAGAGAAACTGTAAGAGAGTTAAAAATTTTTAAAAGAACTAAGGACAGATTTTTTTTTAAGTCACACAGTTAAAATAGTGATGGACCCAACACAAAATAAGCAACTTTACGACAAGTATTAGCAGAAACTCACTGAGATGGAACAGCAAGGGTCAGAGGAGCAGAGAAAGAAAGGTCACAGACTCTATGGCAGAGAAAGTGGGGAGGAAGATACCACACTTACTACGGCTTTAAAAAAATTAAAAAATACATATAACATAAAACATCTTTCAATTGTTTTTTTCGTAAGAGTTTTACGGCACTTGCAACACAACAAGGTCATATAAGTGCAGAAGATTAGAGATGTTACAAGGGAGTAACAAACACAAAAAAGAAGGAGGGGAGATAAAGACGATAGATGTTTGACAGGAAAGAAGGAGTAAACCACACCAGAGCACCCGCCAACCTCCCACATATCTTTCAATAAGTGGAACCCACACTGCAAAAGTCTAAATTAAAAGACAACAGACCTTGGTTGTTTTACTTCCAGTCCTCCGTGGTTTTCCAGGGATCAGTTCCAGTATTTAAGAATAAGCCTTATTTAACAAATACAACAAAATGTTTCAAACTTGTGCATAGACAAATTTTGTCTTAGCTCCAGCATCAGCAGTGAACCCAAGGAAGAGAATGATTACACAACAGCGCATTTCAAGAGGAGAGAAATCAAAATAGAAAGAAACAAAACGATAGCACACATTTCAAAAAGAAAAAAAATTTCAAAACAGAGAGAAAGAAATAACAGTGAGAGAGTACAGGACCAGCCCTACATACTAAAACAGATGCCTTTTTCACAAACCTCATTCAGACACAGACTTCTCTCCCCAAGGTCTCAGTTCTTACACCAGGAAAAAAAACTTAATCAATCAGGACTTTCCAGCTTGAGTTAAAACGTAAAATTCATTTCCCTCCACTGACATTTCCTTTATCTTCCTACAGCATATTTTGGCAATTCTTGTGGTTAGTATTTTTCACACTTATAAAAAAAAATTCAGATATTTAACGGAGGTGCTTACTGATGAAGAAAACAAATCCTTAACTTTTTGGACTCCATGACTCCATGGAATCGCACAGGGACTCAAAATCTACGGACCAAATTGTTGAATACATCTTGTTACAAGAATTCAGACAAAATCCAGAAAATTTCCGAAAGATGGAGAACTTGATTTTCAAGATGGGCAATGAGCAAAACTGGAAGAACTGTATTTGCACATATGACAGCCCCCAACTCTAAAGATGCAATAAATTCCCTGAGTAGAAGAGAACAAGTCACGATATTTCGCCTGCGAACACAACACATACCACTAAATTCCTACCTTAATAGGATCCACAAGGATACCCCACCCGACTGCCCGTTGTGCAACTGCCAGGGTGAAACAGTACCACACCACCTCTTTAACTGCCCAGCACTTTGTGACCTGCGTAGCACCTACCTACCTGCCTCCCCAGACGTCAGAAACACTCTATACAGCGACAAAGCACAGCTGATTAAAACCTGTCAATTCTTTGCCATATCGACAGACCGAAGGGCTAGAACCCAAATGGCCGCTGGATCGGAAAAGTAAAGTAAAGTAAAGATTTTCAAGAACAAAATTCACTTTCCTAGGTTACTCCCCAGTCAATTTTACAGCTGTCCCTGAAATTCCCGGTCACTTCCAGGTCCTGCCCATTTTCACTCACAGTCACCAGGGTTTATCGATCACCCTGAGAATGGCAAGCATCAAACACACTGGCACTTGTGGCTTGAGGATAAAAAAAAGCATCAACAAGCTCTCACAAAATAACAATCAAACATCACTGGCTGCAACACGAGAAAGTAATAAAAAGTACTCATCGAAAACAGTATGATTTAACCGTTTGATCTTCAGTGCTTTTTCTTTTCAAAAAGGAAAAAAAAAGAAAAAGTTTTTAAACAAAAAACAAAACAAAAATCCACAACACAAATTGGTTTTCACATTTCCAGTTACACAGTCGAAGGTCAAACAGCACATTTTTCAGAGAATTGCTACAGAACCCAGTCTCACCTATCCAAAAAGCATACTGCCATCTTTTAGGCATAAAAATCATCTTTATGAAATGGACTTCATTTGGGCGTGACTACGTTTTAAAGGAGAAAAACAGCCTAGTGATCCATGTCGAGATAAAACTTCCAATCAAACTTACTGACCCTGATCAACAGTTGTACTTTCCAAATCCCAAGAAAACAAATGCTTCAGCATATTACAAGAACCTGTCCGCGATGTGGACATTTGATTTACGGTAAATATACCCCACATTTGCGACGCATTAGTGCATAAATGTTTAGCCAGTCATTATTTTACAAAAAAATCTTCCCTGTGTTGGTAGCCCAAAGAACAAGTGGCGAAAATCTGTACAGATTGGGTGATGAAAACTGTACAGATAGGGTAAGAAATATTAATGAAGGACAACATAATGTGCAGGTAGAAAATTAGAACAAAATTTTGTTTTAAAAAAACAAGAACAAAATTCGACAACGCCATGTTTCCAAACTTGTGCATCGTCAAAAACATACAAATTAATTGTATTGGGCATAACAACAGTTTACCATTCAGTAACGTGTCCGAAAGAGAGATTTCAAGTCAACCTGAGTCAAGCTCAAGACTAACCCTCATTAGTTGTTTTAGGGCTCCATCCCAAAGAAAGATTTGTGAGTTGTTAGGCATTATGAACCATCAGGCATGCCTTTTTTTCTGAAGTAACAAATATGAGCTTTTCAACTCTAATATGTTGCCAAATCAAGACGATTTCAAAACACAAAGTAAATTGAAAACTCAAAATTTCCTTGAACTACCCTAGTCTTATGGCAAATTCCATAACATTTCATAAAAACTATTTAGCTAACAGAAAAACTTATCCCGGTACACCCATTTTTATGAACATAAGTTTTAAAATAAAAAGGTTCCAAGCACTGATTCAAGACATTTTCAACATAACAGCTGAACATGTGACACATTATAACTGTTTCAGTAGTAAACTTCCACTGGGAGAAGAAGGTTTCCAAGTTGAAAAGAACTAATTTCGAAAATACAACATAGAAAATAAATGGCTAAAACAAACTATGTGAACAGGCAGCAACCCATGGGGTGATTTAATTGAGTACCCATGCCTGGTTCTACTGTTTAGTTAGTTTTAGTAGAGGTTTTACAGCGCTCACAACTGCATAAGGTCATATATGTAACTACTGTAAATGCTGGGGGAAAATGTTTTTAAAAAAACAAAAAAACCTTCAAACATTCACACCTTTACACAAAAAACCTGACTTATACTAATACATTAAACCATAACGGCAACCATCGATGTAAAAGGAAAAGCACACAGGCATTTCAAAGGGGAACTCAGTGTAAAACGGTAAATCATTCCAAAATTTCTGACCAACAGTGACAGTCCATCTTGCATATAATACAATAATAAAAGAAAATCATAGAAAATGCAAAAGTGAAGGCAAGAGGTAAGTTTTGATAAGGGTGGTGAAATCAAACACACAGACTGACCTTTTCCAATAGTGGTAAAATCGGGAGAAAATTTGCCCGTCTACTCTCAGGTTAAAGCATCACACCTGAGTGACCCTGGCATTAACTTAATTAACCAAAAAAAAAGTCAGACATCCCTCGGTTGTGACCCCACAATAATCAACAATCACACAGAATCACAGAAAAAGGCACAATAATGAAAGCATGCTCAAGTCCCTGAAAAAATCTCCTGGAAAAAAAATCTGGCCACTTTTAAGTATGTATTTCGCAGCCGCAAACACCAGCGGACTTTAAGACTTATTCTTGTTCACAAAACTGGTAACTTTACAAAATAAACAATTTTGAAAAAAGGCATAGTCCAGCGTAGAAATCATAAAGAATCTCTTGCAATTCACAATAAATAAAGGCAAGGGAGACACATTTGAGTCGCTTACATTGACATAATGGTTATACATTCATCATACATCATCAAAGAGGAAAAAGTGCAAAGACGTCCAAATAGTCGGTGACGTTACAATAAGAGGCCAGCTGCATAGGTCAACAATATAAGGTATCACAAGTTCTTCCTTCACAGGGAACAGCTTCGCGCCACTCAACACCAGATGGGAAACATTTTTTTTTTTAATGTACAAGTGCTTCCCTGAAATAGCTACTTTCAGACTTTTAACCTATCTTAACCTATTTAGTTTTTATTAGAATTATGAAACAAACTAAAGGGCACCTAAAACTACTTTTTCCTGGAAAATATCTTTTAAAAAAACAAAACAACACAGCAAGACCCGAAAACCATTATGTCTGTGGGATCCATGGTGATCATCTATGACAATACTTTCAAGTTTGTTAGCTTCTGTAAATGTTGTTTTTTTAATAGAAAAAAAAAAACCCATACTGACCAAGCACAAATCACAAAATGTTGTTAAGCTCCACAAGAAAAAGTCATGGTGACGAGACATGACTATCAACATGTTCATTTTAAGAGAATGGTTTATTCGCTTAAGTGTAGGATAAGCAAAGCAGTCAAATTAGTTCTTAAAAAATGCTGCCCATTTAGTTTTTAAAATCCATCGCACTCTGTCACTTTGACAGAGACAGGTCGTCAAAGACAGTGTAAAAGAATGTATTAACTGCATGTCACAATCTACACAATTGCAATGTAAAAAAAAATGTTGACAAATTGGTCCTAAATTATGATTTGCTCACAATAAGCAGCAGATAATCTAAGCACAAAGTATTCTCATTTGTAGTCAAAATTGTCACAAAAGGACTCGCTGCAAGTTTGGAGTAAGAAGGCGCCCACCCATTTTACCTAGATCAGAATTCTATGCCTTTCAGACCAGAAATGTTAGACAAGAAGCATTGTTGTTTGTTATTTCTTTGTTTGTTTTTTGTCGGTAAAAATAGGAAAAACAAACAGTGCCGAGACTTTTACTTCTTTTAGACATTCACTCAATCAGGCGCTCTGGTACACAGGGCATAAGTACGCTGTTGGTTCTGTAATCACCCCAGAGCTTGTGACCCAGAGGTGGCATGGCAAGCCAAACCACCTGGTCCTCGTATCGGATGGGCGAGGCCCGCTTGTAGTAAGTGTTAGTCTACTGTCATTGCTGGTGTGTGTGCTGCAATCATAGACCGCAGCCTCCACAAGTTTGTGGAATCAATACTCAACAGCCCACTCTCCTCCTCCTGTCTCTTTCCTTTCACTATGACAAGTTCACTTTACAACATTTGCAATCAAAATACAGGCCATATAACAAAAACATCAGCACCAGCAATATGATACCACGAGAGCCCAGAAAGGTACAAATTACTACTTGGAAAGATATGTAATAATGTAACGGTCACCCATTGTAAAAAAGGTGACATTGCCACTCATGTCCCCTACTTATCCAGCACTTTCACTCGACTCTTCTAGAGCAGAAAAGGCTTCTATCTAATAAATTTACAAAATCAGGAGCCAAATGTGTAATTCATTCAAGTGCTCTACCTATGACATTATCGGTCACAAACCAAAATTTCTTACTTTTCAGATGTAATATACATAGCGTAATGGCCTTGCTTTCTTTATGACCTTTATCAATAATCCTACACGACCAAACAATAGATAATTTTATATACAATTTGTTACATTATTGGCGTGAAGTGTTAAAACAACTATGAATTGAATACGGCACCTTCCTCCATTCTCCTGTCAACACAGCATTATGCTTTGTCTACAATCAAACCCACATGACCCCACTCCGGCCTGCTGCGTCTGCTTCACAACAGACCATGCTTGCCTGGTTTTTTCTTCTACTAAACCCTGCTGATGTTAAGATTGTAGACTTAAGCAAATAGGGTCACTGAGCAAGAAGCACAGTAGCTGGTCAGTTCAGCTAGCTATTCATTAGATGGAAAGCGTACTGGAGGCATTACATATGTTTTCAAAAACTCAATACAATAGTTTCCTCAACATGCATTCACAGAAATATTACAAAACATAGTCTGGATGCATTAAGAAATAACATCCAAGGAGGATTCAAGTTATATTTTTCCAAGCAAAATCAAAAACTTTTTCTTTCTCAGCATCGCCATCAATTGACAAAGTTGACCCCATTCACTCTTAGTCTTAGATCAGCCCCGCTGTACTGTATCAGTGACTCTAGCCTAAATACAGTGCGCCTTCCAGGGACCCCATTAACATCAGCAGGGTCAAAACAGATTTGATAGTTAATAGTTGTCATTCCGGTTGTCATAACTGTCGTTACTCTCAATGTACAATCAAAGTCTTCTTGAACTTCTTTCTCGGCCAGATGAATGACTTAACTCAATTAAGGCATTATGAGCAACTAACAGTGCAACCAGTCCTATAAAATCTGGGAATGAACTTTTAAAATCAAATTTAACCGCCTGCTTTTATATTAAAGCATGTTTTTTTTGTAACCATCACAGGCAGCAATTAGTCTTATTATAAACACTAAATTTTAAAACACGTTGAATATCTTGTCTCAGGAACATGCTTGGTGCAATATCTTTTGGTATTGAGTGAATCAAGCCTTTAGTCCGCAACATCTTCTCACAATGTCCACTCCACCACAAACTCTTGTTTCCTCAACCAGTCAGGACCAGCAAAACTCATTCCCTGGGATCAAGTCTCAAAGTTCCTGTGTTCTCAAACATCAGCTCATGTGTTCGTCAATTCGTTCAGGTGCTAGACGGGTTCAGTTATAACTCTGAAAATGAGCCTGTGGAAAAAAGAAGTATTATATGGGGGTCATGAAGCAGACAAGGACAAATATTTGTACAGTTGGGGTTTTTTTCTTCTTTCACAGCATTATGTACACTGTTTTCACAAATACTCTACAAACTTACTGCAACTGGTACATTTTTGCCTCTACATTGAATGACACAAAGACAGGACACAATTTTCTCTAAATCAAATTATTACAAAAGAAAAGCCCTCAAACATTTCACTCTTCAAAGGCCCCATATTACAAGTCAAATTAAGGAAAAGGGGCAGGATGAGGTGGGGTGAGGATATTTAGAAAGGGAGAATCACCTGCAAAAATCCAACATACTTGAATATATCAACAATTTTTTTTCAACATAAAGTCAAACAATCACAATTAAACAGTTACCACCCTACTCAGTTTCTGAGGTTAGTCTATAAATCTGTATAAAAAAGTGCCTTAAATCAAACTAATGCAAAAGTAACATTTTGACTCGGAAATGCATATAATAGATACAAGGTGTCTAACAAAAAACAGGACCCACTTAAAGGACAGTAATTCCATCATCTTTGCTCCAATTTCAACAAAATTTCAAACAAACAAAATTCAACCATGAGGACACCAAGTTTGAAAACATGAAAAAAAAAAACAATCAAAGTGTTGGAGAACTATCAAGCTTTTAAAATTTCAACCAAAATTGGGTAAAATGCAAAATTTTACTTCTTTAAAGAGTTCAGCTACTGGGGCGTGATCAGCATTTTCTACTTCCAGGACAAGGACGGTAAAACCACAATAGTCAATAAAGATGGATATCTCACTGGGCCGAGAAAGTTTTACAGAAGCTTGGGGAGGGGGGGTGTTATACTGTAGAGGCCTGGTTCCAGTTAGATGAGTCCCAATCCCACACGTCAAGAGTGGCCCTTGTGTAATTGTAAGAATAGTTTAGGGAACGCCTCAGAACCCGCAAGTCTACAAATGAATGGCCATCACATTCTCCTTAACTAGAACCCTTTCAATTATTACTTTCGGGTTTTTTATGGACAGAGTTTATGGAAACAACCTTAAAACTTAATGTGGAACATGACATCAAAAGAATCGACCAGGAAACACACCACAGTGGCCATTCAAAATTGCCAGTGCCATAGTGAAGCCTGTAGCGAGAGAAATGGTCAACACCTTGAGGTATATATAGCCATCCCCTCCATGGGACTATCAGGCAATATTAATTTTGTATAAATTTGTTCTTCACTGCACAAATACTGATTAGTTGAAATGGATCAATATTGTTCATTTTTAAGAAGTTGTGAAGTTTTGCATTTCACTCAATTTTGGTTGAATGAAAATGTTAAAACTTGATATTTTTCGAATACTTCGATTGATTTTCTTCATAATTTACAGACTTGATGTCCTAATGATTGAATTGTCTTTGTTCAAAGTTTTGTTAAAATTGGGCATAGTTATTGCCCTTTAAATGGGTCCTCTTTTTTTTAAAGCACCCGGTAAAAACATGTTTGCTGGGAGGCACTCAGACGATAACTGCCATTCAAACTCACATCGTGTATGTCCAATCCCCCTGACTGACCAGCGGGTGGCAGGCCGTCCCGGCCCTGGTCATCGTCATCGTCCGACGAGTCTTCTCCTGAGGAGTTGCGGTTTTCTCCTGTGGCAATTACTGCATCTGGAAAAAGAAGAAAAGGGTTTGTAAACAGAAAAACATTCGCAAGATAAAACACAGTAAGCAGGGAAAGGGACATAATCTTCACAGAAGATATAATAATACAAACAATAATAACAACAACAACAATAGTAATAATGATGCTGATGATGATGATGATAATTTCTTTTCTTTTTATACTCTTTCTTTCATTTTTTGCATAAAGTAATATGGTTTTATAAAAGTCCTGTGTGTGTGGAGAGAGAGAGAGAGAG